AGAGGCCTACACGTCCCAGACATGCTCGAGAACGCAACACCACGCGGCCGATCACACCGATCCGTTTTCAGGGTCCGAAAAATTACAGAAAACGTAGGCCCCTCTTCGTTGGGTATTTTCGCCCGCAGATACCACAAATAAAGTCACCATGTTCATGTTGGCGTAAACGTCTAGCCTTCGATTAAGTGTGACTTTCACTCTGCTCGAAAATCCGTGTGTTGGAACTTCCTGAGAGGGAAGATAACAAGCAGGTCTTGCCTACTTAAAGTATAACCGATGTCGTGTCACGCCTGGTTTTATGTGTGTCAGACCTACGCACGGTGGTTGCGCTGGCCACTCGCCCTGATCTTTCATTGCTGCATCTATACTCACAACAAGGAGTCCGAAATCTACGGATAAGTTAAGGCAGTCGTCCCAGTCTGGCAAGTGAATTACAGCCTCGGCGGCCTTCTGCGCAGGCAGTCGGTTCCAGGCTTCACCTAATTCAGACTTCAGCGCCTCTCGGAGAGCACAGATCAGGTTTTTCCCTGCCACCCAGTCTAGCTTCATATCGGAAGAAACCCGACTCTCCTTCAAACTGTGAAAACGCCATTTGTGCAGCCACCACGATGTTTGAAACGCCTGCTTTTTACTTTCGAGCCTCCTTGCTAGGTCTCGGGTAGGCGGTGGCGGAGCTGTCCCTACATTTCCTGGAAAAAAGGCAAACAACATTTGCTCAGGAAGCCAACCGTTATCATGCTTCTAGCCATCGGAGTCTTGCCCTGCAAGACTAACTGTGTGGCTGTGGCCACACCCAGCCAGGTACGGAGAGGTGCGTTCGTGTGACACTTCTCCTGCTCCCACCTTGTGACTCCGCTTATTTTCCAAGCCTGAACAGTCCGGATCCACCTCCTCACAGGGGAGGCTTCTCTGAACTCACTCACACGGTCTAAATACACAAGGTTCCGGTTCACAGGAAGTCTGGGGGTCAAACCCTGCCTCTAGGCACTCACAAAGTCCTGACAGCCAACCAAGGACCATACACGGGCTCGCACGACAAGCCACAAGCTCCGCTACCACATGACCGAAGGTCCCTCTGGTACCTTTTCCCTGAAAGCACGAACCCAAACCAATCTCAACCAAGTGCGGACGCGCTCTTTTTTTTACTCGCAGGCCTTGAGCCAAAAGTCACGAAGTGCGCAAACTAAACGAATTCACATGTGAGCTTAAACTCAGCTTCAGAACAAAGTTTCTACACACTGCATACTTACTCAAAGTAGGGCAAAAACATACACTCCCATGATTTCCTAGGAAAATCGAGGCAAAAACATCGAGAATGGAATCACAACGATTCCCAATCACTCCGAAGTCTCCGAAGCAAAACAAAACTACACAAGCTGATCCAGAACATGACAAATCAATGATCAGCCACGATCTTCCACACTTCGTGCTCACTTCATTCGCCATTCAATGCACGCGTTCGCGAATTTATTATTCATTGGTTTCCTCGCTTTCTATCATTTTGTTGTCGCGAGAACGGAGTGAACAAGCGAGAGCGAATAAAGAAACGTAAAAAGAAGCGAACGAATGTAATGCATGAACGTATGAACGGAGTGTGAAGAGAACAGTATTAATGAAGTTATAAGTAAGCATGAACTTTATCAATGCGTGCGTAACACAGCAGACCAAGGATTTTAGTACGAATGATACGGAGGTGTTGCCTCAGGGTCGGACACCAAAACCGGGGCAATCGCGGCGTTATGGGACACAGGTTTGGGCAGGGGTGTTGTTTGGCTTTCCCTGCTTTTCAACATATTCAGCATCATGGAGGATTGGCAAACAAATGGATGTTGAGATCGAAACAGTGCAAGCTCTTTAGCAGAGCCTCATCTTTGCTACCATTCTAGCCGTCACACTGTGTCTGCCTCTGCTAGAACTAGTTTGCGAAAACACGCAACCTGCGTGCCCAGGCAATCCTGCGCACTGATTTCCACATCACGAGCTTGGCAAACTTTCCAAACGTCAGTTGCTGTGGATGCTCTTGCATCATCACGGTCACAGTTGTGAGCAAGAAGTTAGTTTGTCTGACTCACAATGACCGGCCTGTGTAAAGCAGAAATCTGCCCCGAAAACGCGCAAGCAAACCCAGAAATGACTGTTTTTAGAAAAGCAATCCAGTCCATTTTCGGTGCGAAAATGCAGCTTTTTGTGGAAAATTTTTCAAAAAAAAAAACATGCTGGCCGAAAACTCTTTTTTGGTTTTCCTGTTAAAGTGGTCTTTGAAGTTTCTCTAATTCATTTATCGGCAAGTTCTTAGTGTGTTTCCGTGTCCTTTGGATATTGTAAGATGTCAGTTGGACATGTTACAGAATGCTATTTTTTGATTGTTTGTCGAAGTTTGTTTTCTGTTCTTGCCGACAATGACTTCTTCACGCTCCAGATCAACACCCAGTGTAGTTGCAGGTGATCGCCACGAATGAAAAGTATGCAAAGCACTCTTCGTGACAATTTTTTCAATTTTCTAAAATGCAAGTTTCAGCACTTTTCAAGGTTTTTGGAGTTAATTTTCATTCTTTGCAGGTGTCAATGGGCTGTTGTTCAGCTCTCTGCAGTGGTCTTAGCCGGTTACCCAAGATGGAATTTCTGAAAGCTGCATATTTTCAGAAATTTGGATTTTTTTTGTTTTTGAAGACCATGAAAAATGTATTTTTTTCCTTTCGTTGAAAACTTTTTTGTTTTTCCCCAGCAAGATAGCATGTAGGAATTCCAAAATGATTTGTTTTCAAACCATTCCACAGCACTCTTACAAAATGATTAAAAACAAAATGAGCCTTACTAACTTTTTTTGCAACCGGCTTGGTTTGGATATTTAAATTTCAAAAATTTTCAAAAAACATTGCAAGAAACGCGGCGTCCAACAATGTTTCTCAAACAAGGAAAAGATGTTTTTAGAATTGCTTAAGCGATTTTGTTTCTGAACCAAGGCATTGCAAAATCAGTATTCACACTGCAGACTTTGAAATGCTTGAAAACCAGTGTTTCCTGTTTTAAATGTTTTTTGTTTTTGGAAATTAAAAAAAAAAAAAACAATCTGCTTTGACCAAGACAACTTCGAAACCAGTGTTTTTTATGGTTAAATGTTTTTCCATGTTGAAAAAATTACAAAAATAATTTGCTAACAGGGCATCTCGAATTTGCTCAAGTTTGGTGTTGCCTTGCATGTGTCAAGTCAGACAGCTGAAAAACACAGCCGAAGTTTTTTTGTGGTCATGTTTCTTTGCTGGTAGCTTTGTTCAGCCTTGCAGGTGCAAACAGGAAAAATGCACAAGTCAAGCAGCAGAAAATGGGCCAAGTTTGAACCAAGACTTTGACGCGAACAGGGGAAACCGGAAGCCGTGGACATGAGTCATGACTCACTCATGACATGACTCATGACTCATAACTCATGACTTCCATGTCTTTGCACTTTCGTTTGATGTTGGTTTGATGGTGGACATCCCTCTTTGAATCTTATTGCTCTAGCGTACTGGGCGCTGTTGCGTCGAAGAAGCAGTGGAGGAAAAAAAATGACTTGACTTCCACAAAATACATTCTGTTTTTGTGAACGCCGCGTTTTTTCTAATGTTTGAACAAAATCAATTAACGTTTTTTTTGATTTTGTTTTTTCAAGCAAGTTTGTTCAGAGCGATTCTGTTCTAAACAAGGCATTCTAAAATTATTATTCATATTGCTTTGAAATGCTTCGAAACCAGTTTTTTTCTGTGTTTTAAACGTTTTTTCATGTTTGAAATTTTGAAAACAATTTGCTTGCAAAAACGTAGCAAAAGAGCATCTCCAATTTGCATTCTTAAGTTGTGGCCTGCATGTGTCAAGCCAGGACAGCTGAAAAACACAGACCAAGTTCTTTGAAGTCCTGTTTCATTGCTGGTGGTTTTGTTTCAGCCTTTTCTGCAAACAGGAAAAAATGCACGTCAAGCCAAACAGCAGAAAAGAAAGATGGACTGAGTTTGAAGTCTTGGCTGGATTCGACGCGAACAAAGCTGAAAGGAAACCAAGGCAGTTTTTCATTGTTCATGACCCGTGTTTGTGGCCGATGGGTTGCGGCGGCCGCAATGACTCACGTGACTGCCGTGACTGTGGCTGTGACTGTGACTGATTCATGGTTCCTGATTCATGATGATCTCATGACTCATGACTCATGACTCGTGGCTCATCATGATCTCATGTCATGAGTCATGACTGAATGAATGATTGATGACTGATGATTGATGATTCATACTTCACAATGCATAATGATTCATGATGCGATGCGATGATGCGATTATGATTGATGCCAATGCCAGGCAATGCGGCGGCAATGCCAGGCCAGGACCGCGTGCCAGCACCAGGACCGCCGGGAAGCCGGACTGCCAAGATGCCAGGGCTCAGGACTCAGGACCTGGCAGGATGATGATGACGACGATGATTGATGATGATGATGATGATGATGATACCTTTGAGCCTAAAAACCCGACCCTCAAACCTGAAAATAAACCCTGGACACTTAGCTCCGTCGTAGGTAATGGGGCCATGTAATCCATGTGGCCCCCTGATTTGATGCCAAGCAGAGAGTGCTTCGCACCCCCATTTTGCCGTCAGGCAAAAAACCCAAGTTGCAGGTGCTCGCCACGAATGAAAAGCGTGTCCAGCACGCCATCTCCCGTCTTGCGGTGCGCCGCAGAATTATCGGCATGGTTCTCTAAGACGACCAAAACCTGATACAGCTTCTTAAGGCCCAGTTGCTCTTCTGCGTAATGCGCTTTTCGCTCAACTTGCCAGGCAGAATCGACTTCTACCGAGGGTGATATGTGCTCAAAGCAGCCCCTGTACTGCTCCAGAATGATGCTCACCAACAGCACGGTCTTCCCGGAAGCCAATGGGGCGCACAAGATCCCGTTGGCGGGGGGCTTGCAAACCACAGAATCAGGTAGTTGCTTGACAGTATGCTCCGGCGTCTTGAACAAAATGCGCGGTAAGGTTTCTTAAATCACGCTCACGGCGATCTCGTTGCACAGCGCGGGCGGGATGGAGTAAAGTTGGTCCCGCGAATTGCTCCCCTCGTCCTTTGGTCGGTCCTCGCTGCGCGGCCTCTGGGCGGCAAGTTCCTTGGAAGGCCTCACAGCGGTCGCTCTTGCGGCAGGGGCCTTGGGAGGGCGTCCAGGGCAGGTTGTGCCAGATGGCCGTGGGCTTTTGTAGCGATAACCGTACTTGCAGTACGAGGTTCTGCATGTAGGGACGGGTTCAGGCGTTCGGTGCTCGGGTTTTCGATAGCCTACCACTAAGGCTTAAGGTAGTCTACGACCTCCAGATTCTTAAGCACCAAGGCATCTCTAAGCGGCAGGTTGCGGAAGTGCGATGCTGAACTCGGTGCAGCACGGCGAGGCCCACGCTGCGTCGAAGTGTCCGAGCTCGAAGGCCTTGTAGTCCCATTGCAGGGCTGGCTTTAAAGAATTGTTACCTTCCAGCACGGGCCTCGAAGGCACGTCCGACCGACCCAGCTCCAGAAGTTTCATTTGTTGACCGAAAAGAAAAGGCCCACAGCAGCAAGCACGCCAGATTGACCCCTACGCGCTCTGCGGTGGAGACGGTGGCCGGCATTTTTTCCTGCTGCAGGCGATTCCGGAGAGATTGAAGACCGAGATCGTTTCCACTGATATTTTACAAATTGCTGACGCTCTACCAACCAGGTGGAGCGGAGCAGGGTGCAACCATCTTCTTGTTGCGAAAAAAAATAGGAGCGATGGAGCCCAAAAACGGCACTCAAGCTTGGTGAGCTTACGACCAACCAGCGTGGCGGCAAGTTCTTTCCGGTGTGCGCGGAGGCTTGGCAGTCCCGCGAGTGGCTGGTCACGCGGCCGCCGACGCCGATGACCCGCGTGGTCTGCGGCATGTTGGTGGTCGTCGGGCCGGTGCCGGTGTACTCGGTCGTTACAGCTTCCGGCGGAGCCAGGCGACGGTTGTTCCGTGCGTTGATCCTGATGCGGTGGGCGTGGGAGATGCCCAGGCTGACATCCGGCTCGCCTTGCCGCGGAAACCTTTTCCGGGCCGCCCGGACCGCCTTTGACCCCTGGCTCGTCGACCCGGAGCCACCGGAGGAAGTCGAAGATGCCCGGGTCGCTCCTCATGTTTTTGGTGAGCTCGTGGTGCCAGCCGTCGGTGAGGTCGTGGAGCAGCTGGCAGTGCTCCTCGCATCGGTGCACGGGCGTGCCGTCGGGGTGCCTTTCGCGGATCAGGCCGTCTACGAGGCCCTGGAACTTTTTGGGCAGGTCCTGAAAGACGACGCAGTGCGTTTTGACGGCCACCTCGACGGCACGGTTGCGAGTGCATCCCGGATTCTGGAGACAGGGACGCACTCCGAGGCCATCACGAAGTCGTGCACAGACCGGCAGCTCCGGTTGGACAACAACTCGGTCACGTAGATGTGATCCCAGTGCATCCGTCCTCTCGGAGCCTCACATAGGTCAGGTCCGCCAGGTGCCCTTCGCGGGCTTGCTCCGCGTTATCCTTGGGGCAGAAGATGGGCGAACTTGGCATGGGCCAGACCGTTCTTGCGGCACCGCGCCACGTCTATACCGTGGCAGATGAGCTTGAAGACGAGCGGCGGGAGTCGAGGCGATTCCACGTACTGCTCGTAAGCCCGCCGGCTGAAGCGCGACTCCAGTGTCGTGGCGTGCGAGGACTCCAGGGCCGTTTTGTTTCGGTGGCACTCGAGGCACAGTGTCTGGAGATTCTGGGCCTGTGCGGCGAAGGACTGGTGCACGGGGACGATGTGGTCCAACTCGCACGTGGTTGCGGTGATGGGGGCCGCGCAGAGCTTGCGCTGATGGTCCTGCTCCGCGAGCAGGGCTTGCCGAGATCCGGGCGGATCGCGGGGGGCCTTGAGAAGGTGAAGGAAGACCTCGCTCGCGGCACCCGCCAGACGCTGCCCGCAATAGGGGAGTTCCAGCCGCCCCATCCAGGCCTGCAGCACATCCAGGTCTTCCTGGAATGTGGAGATGACGCAGTCCTCGCCGCCCCACACCCTCAGCCGCAGGCACCGCCACTCGCTCATGCTTCGCATGACTCGCATGACCACCTTCGGGCAGTGCCCCTCGGCCAGGAACTCCGACCTGCTCCAGGTCTTCAGTGCACTGGCGACCTCGCCCTCCCACTCCGCCAGTCCTTGAACTCGGGCGTTTTGCCTGGCTTCCTCCCGCCCCGGTACCTGGCCCGCTCCCGATCAACTCGACGGTGCGGGCGGATTTGTAGAGAAGGCGTGGCCGTTCCAGCTCGTGAAGGTCACGACCCGCTGCTCCTTGACGGTAGGCTCGTACTTGTCCAGCAGGCGGCCTGGCAGTCCACGTAGAACATCGGGGCTTGGCGCCAAAGGCAGAATTCCCGGATCTCTCGGGGGGTGATGCCTTGCTCCCGCCACGTTTTTTTTGCAGATTGTGTCGAAGTCCGAAAGCATTTCCTGCAGCGGCAGCCGCATCAGCTCCGCGAGCTGCCGAAAGACGCAGAGCTTGTCCGGCCGTTGTTCGAAGGCGGACCTCCCTGCTCTGGCCCGTGCTTTGATCGACTTCCCATGTTTGAGCAAATTCTGTGTCCGCCCTGTAGGGCTCGTTAGTTTGTTTTCACTCAACCTCCGTGGAAGCTGTTGACGTTGTCCGTTTGTTTCCCGAACCATAACCAACTGGGACAACCGTTTTCTCTTCGAGGTGAAGTGCTTGTTGCCTGTAGGCAAGTGTAGGCGAGTGTAGACAGCTGGCAGAACTGCGGGCTGGTGTCCCGCACCAGCTTTCAAGCACAACTTGGTCTCCATGTGCCTGCAAGCTGGCTGCAAGCTTTCAAGTCAAGCACAAGTTGGCCTCGATCTGCCTTCAAGCTGGCTGCGGGCTGGTGTCCCGCACCAGCAAGCACTGGTTTCCATCTCTAGAATTTCGTCGCCGCAGTGCAGCTGGTAGGAGACGTTTCGCAGAACAACCAGGGGATCACCCAGGACGGCGTCCAGCACCACCTGGTGGTCTACCACCTGCATACCTGCCTGAAGGTCCACTCCCTCGTTGCGTCCAGGTAGTAGGTCGGTTTCTGAGCCGCGAGCACGGACGCCCTCAAGTTCCGGGCCGCTTGGGCGTCCGAAAGCCCCGCTCTGCCGGGACAGAGCGACGTTGAGGTCCGTGACGGGCAGGCGCTTGGTGCGCTTGCAGGGCATGCCGCGGTTCCGGCCGTTGCTTTTTGGCGCCGCCCCGGAGCATGATGCAATCGTTTGCCGGCTGGGGGGCGGCCGCCCGATCAGTTGATAGTAGTGCTGGTCGGCCCTCGTCGCCGTTCGAGCGGCTGAGCAGCGTAGCGGAGGTGGTAATGTGTCAACCAAACGTGGAAGGCTGCACAAAAACAATGCGATCGATTACTGATGATTACTGTGTCACCAGCGGTTCATTGGGGGAAGCGACATGTTATGAATTCCGGCAATTGGTTTACCTGACTTGTTTTGTGTGCTTGAATCGCAGGAGTTCATTGGGGGGCAAGTTATAACAGTGCAGTTCCTGGGGTGGAAGGTTTCCCACGGTTATGACGTCATGGTCTGACTGTATCACGAAGAATCATTCGGGAGGCACAACTTGTTCCGGTGTTCTTGATGGCCTGCTGAGCATCTTGAAGCTGCTTGATTCGCCCTCGTTGCAGGTGTTGGACGCAGCACACGCTTTGAAGTTGTTGCTTTTTAGCAGCTGGCTAACCTGGCTTTCATCATGATTGTAAGACCCCGCTGACGCACAGCAAGGCCTGTGTTGCTAATCACCATGCAAGTTCCACCATGTGGGACTGAGTTTTTGAAACATTTATAAAGGGATCGCCATTCCAACCATTTCTTACCGAGCATTGCCGCTTTGCCGGACCCTACTGAGCTAAAAACTTTGCGAGCGGCAGGAAGCCGCGGACACAGACATCACCCCTGCAAGTTTCCCATTCAGCTTCCAAAGGCTTAGTGCAGAACTCAGTTCTTAAAGCATGTAGAGATCTCAGCCATTCCCACCATTTGGCCAAGCACTCTGAGGTTCCGGTCATGGGCTGCACTTGTTTATTTTTTTAAATTCAAAGCTGCAAATCTCGGGCAGCTCAAGCTCAAATTTTGTTTTCATTGCGGTTGTTTCGAGAAAGATGTTGTTCCTTCACAGTGACTTGAGCATTCAAATCATGCGCCTGCATCACCTTTTGGGTGACTTGGTATGTGCTCGTGCAGGTGATGCCCCATGCTGCAAAGCCAAGCTCTGGTTTGCGCCGTGCCTTGGCCGCCTTGGGCTCTTGCGTGGCCTGCGTGGCCGGTGTGGCCTTGGCCTGGTTACTTGCTGGCTTTGCACACCGGTCCTGATCTTGGTCCCTGCTTGTTGGCTCCTTGTTTTGTCAGCCCCGTGCAAGCTGGCGAGAATATTCCGTGCGGTTTGCACTTGGTGCACACGGTCCTTGTGCACGGTTGGCTTGTTGTGTTGTTATCCCAAGTGTTTGAGCTTCGGCAGTTCGACCTCTCTCTGGGTTTGACAGCTGCCTTTGCTGGAAGCTGGGTGGAGGCCGCATACGTCAAGTTTGACGGAATCCGAAAGCCACCTATCTTGTGCATGCTTCCGCTTGTGCTCATGCATGATATACCCTAGCACGGCAACTTGGCCCCGTGCTCGGATTTATTTGTGTGGTGGGTGTGGGCGTTGTCCGCGTGTGAACCTGGGTTCTTGGTGCGATGCCCCCGGCGATGCCGCCGGCGATGCCACCGGCGATGTCCCCATGCTGCCTCAGCTCTCGTTTGTGCTTCACTTTGGGAGCTTGCATGGTGCATATTGGCTTGCATCGGCTTGCCACTTGCCCAGCCTCGACATCCTGGTTTCGGTCTAGACGGCGGACCTTGGTTTTCCTCAGCCCGCACCTCTGGGCCTTTCTGCTTCGGGCATATGGCGTCCCATGCCTTCGTTTGTCTCATCACGTTTTGGCTCTGATGAGAAGGTACACACGCTCCATGTTGATTCTGGTTTTTTCCTGCCTGGCTTTCTGAGCTTGAGGCTGACCTCGATGCTTCTGAAAAAGATTAGTCCTGCCAGTCTGACAAGGTTCCATTATGCACCTCGCCCAGTCCTGATCGATAGTTAGGCTTCTGTGAATTTGTGCGCAAAGGTTATTCTTGAAGAAATGCGAAAACGGCTTCCAAAACTCCCCTTTCCAAGCGTGGCGTCGGTACTATGTTGTTCGCCGACTGAAACGAAGACTCAAAAACACCCGTCCTAGTTGTCATTCATCCCCTCAAATCACTCAAACCGCTGGAAGCCCCTTGCGCCTCTCATACCCGATGCCCATGTGGCTGAGCTTAGACTTCGAGGGCTCGAACGCGATTTTGCAAGTTTTGTGGCCGGCTTTGGTGTGAGCGCAGAGAAGTTGCTGCCGTTACATGTCAGTAACTCTTGCTGCTCAGCTGCGAGCAATATCATTATGCCAACTACCATGGGTTAAAACATCTTGAAGCTCTTAGGGCTGGCGGCAGCGCTGCGCCTAAATTAGGTGTAACCTTGTGGATGACGAAACATGGCGTGCAGTACTCAAAACAGCCCTCGCCAGTCTGTGTGAAAACATACCTTAGAGTACAGTTTGCAACCGATTCTTTGCTTGTAGGTGTCGGAAGCAGTCAGCCCTCACATGAGAAGGGCACCTGCTCGACCTGTTCGCAAGAAGAGTCGTTATGGAGCACAGCATGGCATACTGGTTCACGTGGCCAAAAGGCCGATACAAGATTTCGTTGCGGGCACAAGAACTAGGCACCAGACGTGGATTGCCAACAAAATGCATTTCGTGGCTAGAGCGGTCCGACGCGCCTTGCTTCATTTTTGAGGATACTTAAGTAGGTGAAGATGGTAAGCCTACCCCCTTGCCCTCTACCCCACTCTGCTCCCCTCCCTCTTCTTCGAAAGGTGTCGTCATAGCCCATGGACATCAGAAACCAATGAAAATCAGCAATCAGCATGTACAGGAATTCCAAAATCGCTTGTTTGCTTGGCCAGACTTGTAGCCATTAGGCATTGCTACGAGCAGTGTGGAGAGACAGCAGATTCAGCAAGATAATTCAAAACGTCAGATTGAGTGCCGCCCGTGCTCCAACCCGACGCAGGCATGTGTTTTCAGGTGTATGTCGAGTCAGAAGTTCCGTACGCAAAAGTGGAAGGCCTGGTTACCGGTTGTCACATGCGCGACTCATGTCCAGCTGGTAACACCCTTTGGGGAAATGAGCGGGATGCCATGCCTTGGCGGATTTATTCCAGTGGCGGACGAGGGACATGCTTCCTGTGCAGCTTTCGCTCCGGTCTGCTTCTCGTTAACGTGCAGCAATGCAGTAGGACAGGGTGACTCTTCAGACCAAGGTGCAGAACTGCCTCTGTTCTTACACAGCCCGGCCAAGCACGTCTTGCGTGTTCCATGTTAATGCCAGCAAGCAACTGTTGCTACAGGCTCTAACCTTGTGGTGCGATAGTGTGCAAAGCTGTGCTTTGGTGTCCACGCCAGTCGCTTTCTCATGTGGAAGCAGCCCCGGCGCAAAACAAAAAGGATCATGCTTGAAGCTGAAGCTGGGGCATTTGGGCTGAACCACCCCGAACAGAAAGGCGCACTACATTTTACAAACACAGCGGGGAAAGAATTCAGCATGAGGTTGGTGTTGCAGCTTTCACCAGCTTTTGGGGTGCATCTTTTCAAACCATTGAGTTTTTCGCAGGTGTTCCTCGTGTTTCAGGGTTTCAACACTGCACTTCCTAAGCTTTAAAAGCTTGGGGATGCACACCGCAGCATGATCTTGGCATGCCTTCTGGCTCAAGCAATGTTCCCTCCTTTCTACACCTAACATACCACCCACCACAGCAATTTTGCTGTTTGGATTATCCCTCATTGCTTGATGGCCTTCCCCACCTTGCCAGCGGGCTGTGCAAGGCGTTTGCACCGAATGGTAGAGCACCTGGCTATGCTCCATGCAGCCATCGGTGTCGGTGGTCGCCGCTTCAGTGCTACCACCCTCGCTCAGCCAAGGTCGGGTGCTGTGCGCGAGCTTGCCGAGCGGGCCTCGCGGGCCTCGCTGCTGGACATGGAGCTCCAGCGGTGCGCGGATGGGGCGGCTGTGCTCCGGGTTGGCGCACAGACGCAGCTGCAGCTCAGTATGGCAGACTTGCGGTCGTTTCTTTCCCGCCTGCGGGAGCTGAAGAAGATGCCGGCATCGGGCGGCGACCTGCGCCAGTTCTTGGAGAAGGCACTGGGCCAGGGAAGGTGAATATCTTGGCCCTAAGCATCCCCATAGTATCCCCATGCATTCCCAAAGGTTAAGAGCCCCTTAGAGCCCCTTCTGGTTGCGAATTGAGGTCGACGCTGCGCTGCCGGGCTTTGGGGCGGAGGGGGCGCATTTGGCCCTCACAGCCTTCGCAGAGTTGCGGTGCCGTCAGGACGGGATGTAGGACATCATGGGTACATGCTCCTGTCGAACCACTTCGGGGGCTCATTTGGATTGGTTCCAGGCTTTTACTGAACATGCGCCACGAGTCTAAAAGAGGTTTGCCAAGTTTTCAGTTGGTTCCATTATGTTCATGAACTGCCCCATGAGAAGTGCTAGTCCCTCTTCTGTGCTCTGGTAGGGGGCGATTTCTGCGTGGCCGCTCCTGATGAAGCATCGCAGCACGCTTTCCCCGTCTTGTATAGCAGAAGGTGTGTGGGCGGCGTCTGGCATACCCAGTCCACCGCGGGACGTCGTTTATGAGGCTGTTGGCTTGGCACGTGAGGTTGCACCGCACATGAAGTTGCTGCCCGAGGAGGCCCTGTATCGCTGCATTTATGGCCTTGCACGTATTCACACTGGCCGGGGCTCGACAGAACTTTTGCGACGGGCTGAAGCTTCAGTGACACAGGCGTTGGGACGCCGACCGTGCCCGTTTCTCCCACGTCAGCTAGTGAGGCTATGCTGGGCCATGGCGAGGTTGGGCTGCCGGGACAATCGGATTTTTCAGGGCTTGGAACAACAGATTACAAACGTGTTGAATCATTTGCAGGTCAAGGAACTGGAGGCGCTTTATGGTGTCCTCACAGAGCTGGAGCTGGTGCGGCAGTGGAAGCTGATCCACGATGTTGAGCGGGCACTGCAGTCGCGCGAGGATGAAGCGGCCTCGATGAACAAGTCCCCAAGACGAAGGCCCTTCCGGCGGCGTTGGACACGAGCCGATCTTATGCATTCGGTGCTCCCAGCCCGCAAGTGACTTTGTTCCAATCACGTGACCTCCTGCAAGGCAAGCGCCGAGTCACAGGAAGAGTGGGAAAGTCGGAAAGTCTGGGGCGCGAAATGCGGATATTGCACGTGGTTTTGCGTCCCTTCATGTCCTTCTTCATCTCTGGACGACGGCGAGAGCTACGACTTCGGTGACGACTTGGGACCGAGACCACTGAGATCACTGCAAGGTTGATCAATAGCCGCTGCATTCCGCGGTTTAGACGGTTTAGCATCTTGAGCTGCAGCGTGCTGGGTTTTGACTGGGGGGTTGAGTTTCTGAGGAAATGCAAGTCATGCTTGGGACACAATCTTGGCTCAAGACCCTGCGAGACTGGCCCAATTTGGCCCACATTGGCCCACTCACGGATCCGTGCCAAGTGAGGAAACTGTGAGCTCCCCAGTCTACTATTGGGCAACATGACATAATTCTTATTTGGGTATTTTCCAATTGGGGGCACCCCCCCCCCCCCCCCCAATCTGCCACAACATACCCCCTCTTGCTGTTTCATCAATCCGTCGCCGCATGCATTGATGTGTCCCGTCGATCTAAGCAGATGAATCAGATGATATGCTCACGGACATGCAGGACCAAACCCTTGCAACTTGTCCATTAAGGAACCTGACATCATGGTCGCGGCCTCAGGTTCTTGTGACCAACTCTTCCGCCGCTCAGCCTCTAACTGCATCTTGGGTTCCGTTTTGCCTTCTCGGCTCGAGCCTGCGGGCAAATTCCGCTCGTTTGCAAAACCTATGAGAAGGCGCGAGTTGATTGGGAGTTTGCTCCGATTCCGCGCGGTTCCGTAGAAGCAGGTGAACCTTGTCAGACCCGTACCTGAGGTCCACTCCATAGCCGGGCACGGATGCGATGCACCTTGGAGAGATCTTTACCAACTCTGCCTTTGCTCTAAGCCCCATTTCGCATAAATTACCCACTATGATTGTGGCTGCTGCAGCCTGCTTGCACCCTGTCCTCTGCGAAAGTGTGTGCATGAACCATGCCCATGCCCGTGAAGCCCGCTAAGCCGAGGTCAGCTCTGCAGCTTGGCCCAATGGTTCCTCTGCGTAGTTCTGCATTCGCAGGCACGTGGTTTCGTCAAGAGATGTCGAAAGGTCAACAGCCCGCCAAATCTGGAATCAGCACGCTGTTGCTGCCCCTGTTGTTCCGTTAGTGTGCAACTTCCTGGCCAGGCCAAGAACATCATGCGGATTCTTGGACCAGACTTCAAATAAAGTCCCAGTGACCATGTGGCGTTGTGCTTTGTTGCAAACTGCAGCTGCAAGCATCAAGTCTGCTGCACCGAGGCGATCGCAGGCGGTGGCGGCTTGGCGGTCGATAGTCGATTCCTTCCTCAGTGCAGCTACGTTCTCTACGGTGAGGACTTGGTAGACGCAACAGGTCTCCCTAGGGCGGACTAGTTGGTGATCGCATCATGCCGATTGCGTTCTTGATGCTGCAGTCTTTGTTGGCTGACATCTAAGATTGCAAGTGATGGAGCCATCGTGGAAGAGTTTCTGGACTCCACATCCTTGGATGCTGATGCCACCATGCCTGTTTACAAGAGTCTCGGTTGCGCTAACCAGCTAACCCGCTGTTGTGCAGCGGGTACACGAATCTCTGCAGGCTGTACTTCAACCTGCGCGGGAAGCGCATGTGTTGGCAAAAGGAATCCGAAGGCTGTCGCGTCTCGGTTGCGGTTAGAGACTTTGCAGGCCCTCTCGATCTTCTCCAAGCCTTCAGCTTAAACCCAACTCACAGCACAGCAATGCTGCTACTGCTTGGGGCAAGGTTCTTCGGCAGCTGACTGCAATGTGGAGTATTGCCAATCGGATGCTGCTTCACAGCAACAGGGGTGCAGACGGTGCAGCAGTGCAACGCTCAGAGCTTCGCCCTGCTGAGGCTCCAGGCTGCCAGTGTCTGAATGTGGGCTTTCGGAACTGCAGTGGGACCAGGCGCAAGCCACGATCTCCACGCTGCCGAGCATTCTTTGAAGGGGCAAACTTCAAGGAAGATTCTACTTCTGACCATTTCTGACCTGATTCATAGGCCGGCTGCCTCGCTGCAGCTGTTTGTGGAGACGACGAAGCAGCCAGCAGCGAGCCTGAAATGGACCAAGAGCAAGACCGTGCTAGAATCTAGAACACAGGTATGCCAAAGTGAGCTCTGCACATTTCTCGTGCTTGCGGTGATCTAGGCTAGAGTGGGGAGTGGGGCTGAATCCAACACGTCACGATGACCCGGAGACGTGTGCTTTAGGCTGACCTTTGTACTGCGAGGACGGAGATTTCCCCGATCATGCTTTCTACTGGCGCCAGCTGAGGGTGAAATACTACGATACTTCGGACTCTTGGACTTTCTCATTCGGATGCTCATGGGGGCTTATGGTGCTTATGGTGCTTATGGTGCTTGGTGCGTATGGTTGTCCAAGCCTATCTTCGGCCTTTGGATGCCTTTTGTTTTTCTCAAACTTTTCTTCGAAGAGGAATGGGATGACCACTCCCGTGACTTTGGCAAGGCTTTGCACGTTTGGCTTTGCACGTTTGGCTGTATCGGTCAACGATCGGTCAACGAAGTGTGCCATGAAGTGTCATATCAGAGTTGACTTGATTTGGTCTGGGACAGGCCCTGGAGTCCCACTTGGCCTGCACAGAGGATCCTTGCGAGTGCCGGGCTGAAAGCATGTTCAGCTTTGTCACTTGGCCCAACAGTTTGCTGCACAGCGACCAGATCAAGGGTCCACCGAACATGGTTGGACCACAGGCAATTTGAGTCATACAAGTCGGTTTGCTGTGATGAAGCGTGTGATGAAACGGCAACAAAGGCTTGGGATGGAAGCAGACTCGTGAACGTGGAAGGGGACACCCCCCGCAGCATTGGCCTGCTGCCCAAATCATCCGCGAATGGGTCTGGAAGAGGGTTGCGGCAAGGGTTGCTGCACGGGTGGCCGGGTTGGATCCGGGTTGGGTTGCCACATGGGTTGCCGCATGGGTTGCCGCATGGAGCTTGCAGTACTTGGCTCTTTGCCCCACACTTGAAATCCGAATGCTCTTTCGCTGCCACCTCGATGTCTCCACGTGAGGTCCATCCCCCGGCAGAACTAGCGACATGACGCTGACACTTCGCCAATACAATCTACGCTTGAAGGCAGGGACACAGGTAACACGCTGGTGCCTTGTGCCAAAGCGCCGTGTTCCTGCACCATGTCAGGCAAGCAAGATGGAAGCTGAGGCATCTCGCACCTACCGTGATCCCACTTCGACCACATCCACTACCACAACCCTTACACACGTACACTCTACAACCACTGAAACAACAACCACCCGAACCACCACCTCGACAGCCAGGAGGACGACCACAACGACCACAACCCAGACAAGAGAGGCAACCCAGGAGTCTTCCCCTTTGGAGGAGGACAGGGAAAACAATGAGACAACCAGCGATGCCAGCACCACAGAGGAGGAGGATCAGGAAGAGGAGGAGGGTGAGGAGGGAAATGAGGAATGGGCGACCACCACCGCTGACAGTGCTGCTGACTCAGCTGCCTAGAGCGTTTTGAGTTGAGGCGTCGCAGTTGGCTCCTGAGGCCAAAGTGAGATCCATCAGCTCCTCCACTCATCAATCTACCCAGAGAGGCGCGTGCATCTGCAGTGGAGTGGTTCAGTTGAGTGCATGTGCTACGTGGTGAGCTGTGATGTGATTTCAACGAAAGGATGACAAGAGCGTAGACATAGTCGTCTTGAATCGATTCGCATGGCAGCACTTCGGAGTCAGGTACAAGCACGGGTACCACGACGGCTGGCACGGCAGTCACCACGGCCACAACTTCACTTACTACCACAGCCAGCAAGGCAACCACGTCCCCGGCTTCTCGGCCACGCCCCGACAGCGACGGCAAAGGCGATAATACTGATGATTCTGAGGAGGGCGAGGAGGGTGAAAAGGGCGAGGAGGGCGAAAAGGGCGAGGAGGGCGAGGAGGGCGAGGAGGGCGAGGAGGGCGAGGAGGGCGAGGAGGGCGAGGGGGGCGAGGGTGCGGAGGGTGCGGAGGGTGCGGGGACGGACGCTGGGAACAAGAATGGTGAGGAGGCAGCTGGAGACGGCAAAACAGCAAAGCCCGTGCCTCATGTCTGCAATCATCTTGGGTAAATCGTTAGACTGCGATCCGCTTGGACAATTGCGGCGGCGTTTGGCCATATCTGTGCCTTCCTTCGTCCTGCAGCAGTCAGGTCAGGATCGACTTCGACTACTTCCGAAGACGCTGCTGCCACAAGTAGCAGTCGCAGCGCCACCATGTCGACGTCCGCTTCAGCAACTTCTACTTCGAAGGTTGTCGCCACAACCACAGTAACAACAACATCTGTCACAGTTACAACTACTACAACGACAACGCTGTTTTGCCATTGCTGCTCAGAGGCATTCAGACTTCTGCTGTGACCTGCTGGATCTGGCAAGCCGCCTTGAACCCATCTAAACCTGTGCCAAACTGACAGAGTGCCAGCGTTTGTCCAGCTAATCACACCACAAGGATGCATAAGATGCATAGAGTGAGCACATGAGTGGGCAGTGGGCAGTGGATGACGCTGGGTTACGATAGAATCGACACTACGACGAGCTTCGGGGCCTGAAAGGACCACGGAACCAACTGGCACATGTGGCGTCAATCAAAGCCTTACCACAAATCGGAGGAACCCTGGCACTTGCTTTTTGCATGCCGCAGTAGATCTGCATGCGTTGACGACCGCTCGTATCTGAGGAGGTGAGCGAAATTGTTTGTGCAAGGAGGTCTGGTCTGGGGGGTTAGCAGACTTACAACACTTACAAGGCAATGTGGGTTATAGAGAAGTTCGAAGGCCTCAGAGATATCTCAAACTAGATCCAGCAGAATAAACCCATCGATCTTGTTGCAAGTTTCCGGTTTGACCCATGGATCTTCTTCAGTAGCTCTTTGCAAGCATTCAGAGCCTTGGTAACCTCCACGAGGACACAAGACTCAGCCATGTGTATGTGGGATGAGCAACCTGAGGCTTTGCCAACGTGTCGTGGCGAAAGGAGGTCGGAGGGCCAATTAATGCTTTTTGAAGTCTTTTCTGATATCGGTATGTTGGGCCAGGCTGTGGGCCGTCTTCCGTCATCTGCCCGTGGTTCCGCGCGTCTGAGCCGCGCTGTGGCTACCGCAGCTGTGACTGGAGCAGTCGGAGGCACTGTAGCATCATCTTCAGGACAGTACGGCTTTCAATGGTGATGCCATGGGGGTCGCAGTGAGGTTCAAAGGGATTGTATCCAGATTTGTTGTCAGAAGACAGGCCACCCGCTTGCTTTGTTATGGAATCTGCTTGCCTTGCATTTTCTCAGCGTCTCAGCTTTTGTGCTTTTCGTTGCATTGCTATATTACGTTGCTTGCCACAGCATGAGCCAGTCTTCGATCCATGGGTTTGAAGACGGGCAGTTTCCGAAGCGAGGGGTTTTTCACTGTGCAGTTACACACTGGTTCAGATAATCTGAATGGCCAGCAATGATTACGTAATGCCATCTGGAACAGCAGATTAACTCTAGATCTGCGCTGTGTGCATGCTTGGTGCACTGAAACTTTCCCAATACCTGGTGCAACTAAACAATCTTGAAGGTTGCAAGAAGTTCTGCCTTCAGGCAGGGCGCTGCTTCAGTGTGAGGATTGCTCATTATTATCACTATTTCAGTGCCTGTCTTTGCATCCTTGCCTAGCTGCTACTCATGGGCTGATGTGGACTCTTTGAGCATGATCAGTGCGAGCAAGGACAACAAGTTGCATGCCATCGTCCGGAAGAAGGGCAGCGATGACTACTGCCCCATGGCTTCAAAATGCTTCCAGGTTCTCAGAAGGGAGCCGGGGCGAACACTCAGGCACCTGCTACACAGCAAACACCGACGATCCCGTATATGGCGCGACCAGCAGGCGCAGACTAGAGCAGTGCTTTCGCGTTTTGTCACGGTCGAATGTGACATCCGAGCAGGTTCGAGGAGAACGAGTCCGTCATTGGAGCATGGAACCTGGAAGCTTCATCAGTCCGTGGCTACACCAAGCTGGTGGCTCCGAAAACCACCTCTGGCAAGATCCAGGCAGGGGCCAAGTAATCAATCATCCGCTTTGCTTGTTGGAATGAGGGGGGTCGTCGGGGCTTGGCTTTCTGGGACATAGGGCTGCCTGAATTTCCTCAACTTTTCCGCTCAATCTTCCAGACTCGAATGGGCCAGTCATGTCGTGATCCTGGCAGGCCCATGCAGGATGTCCAGAGGACCCATGTGAAGCAGGGTTTAGATTTCTGTTATTGGTGAGTGTGTATAAGGTTTCTGTTTAATATTGGTGAGCGTATGTATTGGGTGTCCTTTTGGAGATACAAGAATATAAACCCTACTTCATGTAGCTCCAGAGATTCTTGTGGGACAACACATGTCCCGCGTTCAGGGGGTTGGCTTGGTCGAAGCATCGTTTTGGGACTATGCTGATACCTCTAGTTCTGTTCAAGCAGCTTCTCATTGCAAGAGGCAACGTGTCGTCTCCTCATTTTTAGTTCTGTCAGTTCTCTGTTGACAGTCCTTCGGCACCGAAACATCACCAGGACAGCTCTGACTGCTCTCGGCTCTTCAGCCTCGGCTGTGTCGTATTTGCACTGGGGGGCCTATGGGAAGCTTTCTGGGGCTTGTGAGGGTATGTCTGTGCGCGCATTGAGTATGTGGTTGTTGAGGGATCTTGCGTCAGTGCCAACAGCTTCAGGTGGGGACAAGTTGCCGTTGCTTTGCCCCAACACCCATGAGTGCCTTGATCGCATCTCAAGCAAGGTGCAAGGAGGGTGGCCAGACAAATGTAGTCTTGCAATGGATAAAAAGCTCGTGGACGAGCCCTACTTGTGGCAAGTAACATAAAGCCCCCGAGGCCCCCGGCCCTGCCAGGCACAGTCCGTTTGTCGTCACGTTGCCTCCAGATGTCCGCCCGTCAGACAGCTTCTTCCTGACGCAGGCCTGGCGTAAACACACACACACACATACACACCCACACACCCACACACCCACACACCCACACGCACACACGCGCACACGCGCACACACACGCACACACACACGCACACACACGCACACACACACACACACACACACACACACACACACACCACCGCACACACACACAGCAACACCACACACACACACACACACACACGCACCACTACAACCACACACACGCACACCCACACACCCACACCCAACCCACACCCACACCCACCCCCACACCCACAACCCACCCACACCACACCCCCACCCACACCCCCACCCACACCCAACCCACAACCCACACCAGACACAGACACAGACACAGACACACACAACACTCACCACCCACACACACCACACACCCCACACACACACGCACCTGCACGCACACACACACACACACACACACACACCACACACACACACACACACACACACACACACTCACCCGCACCCCGCCAAACCACCCGCACACGCACACGCACAACTCACACGCGCACGCGCACGCACACGCACACGCACACGCACAGGCACACGCACACGCACAGGCACACCCACACACACACACACACACACACACACACACACACACACACACACACACACACACACACACACACACACACACACACACACACACACACACACACACACACACACACAC